CCGAAGATAGTACCTCCTTTCTGCCACATCTGCAAGACTTCAGGGCACCCGCGCACACACTGCCCGAATCGTCAGCAATCAACGGCATCACAGCGACAACTTCGACCTTCAAGCTCCCAAATGGCTTCAACACAAGCAAGTGCGACGACCACTATTCAAGCTTCAACGACTTCACAACCTGCACGAGGAGTAAGAAACATAATCAACTGCATGACGAAGATAACCGATTCGTGTACAACCGAATCACCACCACACTACTCACCGGAAGAAGAGCTTGACAACAGAACGCCTCGCCGTGAGCTACTCCAGCCGAATCCAACGTACGCCGCCATCGCTCAAAGTGAACCGTCCGGCCAAGACACCTGGTTCTTGGACAGTTGCTGCGGGCAACACATGTGCTCGTCCGGGCGTTTCGTACAACGCGAACATCGACTCCAACGGGAAGTAATCATCACGGTTGCCAACAACCAAAACCTGCGCACACGAAGACAAGGAGTGGTACAACTTCAGTCAAGAGAAACAAACGTCATACTGCACATGTCTAAGGTACTCATCGCTGAAGGACTCGGCTACAACTTACTGAGCGTTAGCCAGTTGATGGCGAAAGGAATTCATCTGGAAGCCGACAGCACGACCCAGGAGTTCAAGCTTTACCACGGGAGAGGCGGTCTCTACATCGGAAAAGCAGTGCTGAAGAACAACGTCTTCGTCCTCGACTTCGTTCCTGACCTCGGCACTGCAGACAGCGACGCCATCGTGAATTTCACTGATTGGACACACCCTCCGGATCTCGACCCCGACTTCAGCCCGGGAGGCTTCTGGTACTCGCACACCATTCCTGAAGCAGAACGAACACGAGCATTAGCAACAATTCGACAATCGGCAGCAGTAACAACATCGACATCAGCAGCAACAACATCGGTAGCAGTAACAACATCGACATCAGCAGCAACAACATCAGCAGCAGTAACAACATCGGCAGCAGCAACAACATCAGCAGCAGCAGAAACAACGACACCAGTCACAGTCAACGAAGCACCACCAACACCCGCACAACAGCTGAATCCGACTCAACGAGAAGTCCACCGAAGCGCCAACCTCGTCGCCAGCTTTTACTCCAACTCCGACGCATATCAGCGTTCACCTGGACACCGCGCCTCTGAAGAGATCTGGCACGCACGAACAGGACATCCAAGCAACACGGTTTTGAATAACACGATAAGAGCAGGAGTCCTTGACAAAGATTCTCTACTTCTACCCGATGGCAGAGAACTCCAGAAGGCACGAGGGACTTGCCTTATATGTCCCGAAGCTGACTTACCTCATCGACCGTTTGCTTCACATCACAACCCGAGCGCTCCAGCGTACGCACCACTCGAAAAAGTCTACAGCGACATCCTCTACAATCGCGAACCAGGACAAGTCAACTACAACTACACCATCACCTTCATCGACGCCGCCACTCGATACGTCTGGCATCGCAACCTACCCAGCCGCGACATGGCACTCGCAGCATTCGCCGCCTGGCTACCGATAGCAGAGAGAGAGTCTGGAACACAACTAAAAAATTTCCACTCAGACGGAGGTGGCGAGTACACCTCTCACCGCTTCAAGCAGTTCTTGGCGGAAAGGGGGATCAAGCAACTCCTCTCCCTTCCCTACGCACATCAGCAGCAAGGTGTTGCAGAACGACTGAACAGGACCCTGCAGAACAGCATGCGCAAACTGTTACGTGGCATGCGGCTACCCAACCACCAGTGGCCAGCAGCAATGGACCACGCTGTCATGCTGCACAACTTGTTGTCGTCGTCGTCACTCCCGAACAACGCATCACCGCATCTGCTGTGGACAGGGAAGCAGGGCAGCACGAAAATGTTACGAGTTTTCGGGTGCATGGTACAGTACAGACCCCCAGAAGCACGAGCGGGAAGATTTTCGCAACGGGCACAGTGGGGACTACACCTCGGCATCGAGAAAAATTACAACGCATGGAGAATCTTCGACGTCCACACAAAGGAAACAGTAGCAGCACGTGACGTGATCTTCTACGAAAGACTCACCCTTCAGACGTACCTCGCCAACTTGCACGAGAATCGGGACCTCACCAGTGGTTTTCGTGGTGACCGAGCCTTCGCATCAGCAGCGGATGAAGCAGACTGGGACGAGCAGAATGTTGACAACGCATCGGCAGAAGCCGGACCTCTCCCGTACTGCTCCGTCAACGTGCCCATGGACGAAGAAAATCCTCGCGACAGTAACAACGCCGAAGTCTTCTACCACTTCGCCGACACCGGTTACGTAACACCTGCAACTGTCAACACAAATGAAGCAGAAAGGATAGGACCGAATTTCATCCCTGATCCAGAAGCGGGAGACGAAGCAGCTTATCCCGAGGATCCAGAACTCCCTCGATACTCACAGACTGGGCTGCAAATCCTCGGCCTCGTCACCGCAGTCCACGGGAACACACGCAGCTCGCTTCCTCAGGAGCCTGCAACGGTTCAGCAGGCTCTGGGGGGGGAACACAGGGAGAAATGGCGTGAAGCCATGGATAGAGAACTGAAGGCATTAGAGGAACGCAACACTTGGAAGGTTGTTCCCGTAAGCGTGGCACGGAACAAAACCATCCTTACCGGGAAATGGGTCTTCCGCATCAAGACGAAAGCAGACGGCACGATCGAAAAATTCAAAGCACGCTGGGTCGTACGTGGATTCGACCAAGAGCAAGGACGAGACTTCACCGAGACCTTTGCTCCAGTCAGCCGCCACACGTCACTCCGAATTCTCCTCGCCATTGCCGCCATGAAGAAGAAGAAGTTACGGCAGATCGACGTAGCGAATGCCTTCCTCTACGCACCTGTGGATGCAGAAATCTACGTCGAGCTCCCGCACGGTTCCCACGGCGAACCCAACCGAATCTGTCAACTACTTAAGTCGCTCTACGGGATCAAGCAAGCACCGCGACTGTGGCAGCAGTACCTACACGCCCGTCTCATCCGCATCGGCTTTAGTCAACTACCTCACGACCAAGGCATGTACCGCCTCACTAAGGGAAGCGACTACGTTCTCCTGATCGTCTACGTGGACGATCTCCTCTACATTGGGTCGACCGACGGCATCGCCACGTGGTTCGAAGGAGAGCTCCAGAAAGATCTCACGCTCACGGTCTCCTCCACCGTTACACAGTACCTCGGGCTCAACATCCGCGAAGAAGAAAACGCCATCTATCTAAGCGCCGAGAAATACGCCGACACCATCGCGAAACGCTTCAGCCTCACACCAAGCGCCATCTCCACGCCTTACCGCTATACATCAGGAACCGAGAAAGAACGAACTACTCTACTCAAGCCCGCCGGCATACGCGACTATCAGAAGAAGCTCGGATGCCTGCTATTCGCCGCCGTCACCTGCCGCCCTGACTTATCCTACTCCGCAAGTCAGCTCGCCACCTATCTCAAGAAGCCTGAAGCTGAACACCTGGCGGAACTTGATCGCGCTCTCCACTACTTCGTCAGCACCGCGACGATCGGGCTAACCTACCACAAGAGCGCAGCTACACCAACTAAGCTAATCGGCTACGTCGACGCCGATCACGCCGGCGACACCGACAACAGGCGCTCACGCACCGGCTATGTCTACCGCCTTGAGCCTATCGGTCCTATCTCCTGGCAGTCGAGCAAGCAGGAGTTAATCGCACTATCTTCAGCAGAAGCAGAATATATTGCACTCTGCTCAGCCACCAAGGAGGGACTTTACCTTCGCGAACTACTGGAAGAAGCGAAGCTAGCCGAGTTACCCAGCTTCACCGTGTTCTGCGACAACCAGTCAGCAATTCGCATCGCCAACAAAAACGGCTTCGCAAACAGGACGAAACACATCGCCCTGCGCTATTTCTTCGTGAAGGACGAGATAGAAAAGGGGAAACTCGATCTGTCATACTGCCCAACATCCGAGATGGCAGCCGATTACTTGACCAAGAAACTCGGAAAGCAGAAGTTCGAATACTGCATGATGCTGACTGGACAAGGCCACGTCATCAGCAGCGACACTCCAGAAGCGAAGGGGAGTGTTGGAAACAATAAGTCCTAAGTGCGTTTCTGTCGTATCAAAACCCAAGGCACCAAGCGAAGCAGTCCCAATCGGAGCATCGAGTCAACCTCGGAGGTTAGGGTAACCGCCTGGAGGTTACGAGAAAGTCAAAGGTCGCTGACCTTTGACTCGACAATTACAGCGCGACAGTTAAGGACACACAACTGACTCGCTACAGAGCAGTTGCCCGAGTCGCACTGTATCGAACCGCAACAGCAATACAGTTATCTACATATCTATTCGTATTCCCTGTACTCTTAATATAAATCCTTGTATTTGCTTGTTTAATTCAATCAACTTTGCTCTCACACACCAGTGCAAGGTCGGTTCAAATTCTTCACTAAACGCTTCCGCTATTACAACTACTTCACCTAAAGTTATCCCTTGCAAAGATCCTAAGGGGCTATCTCAGCCCAACAGTTTGTACGAAGGTTGTAAATAAAAAGTGAAAAAAACAACAGACATTCTTGTCTATACAGCAAGGTGCGCTTATAATAAGTAAGGTTATTTTAGAGGGTGCGCTTCTAATTGAGGATCGGCCATAAGCGCATTGCTCCAGATAGAAGCGCATGCGCTTAACACAGGCCTGCGGTTATATCCGGGGCGATACGGTAAGAGTTTTCATTGTCACTCTGCTCGAACATCCCTCACTGGTTTACCTTTTCCCACTCGTGCTCATTAGTAATGAAACAAGAAAAGGCCACCCTGGTCTGGCTTTTTAACAACCTCTCTGCAAAGTTTCTCCTGCATCCTGGTAGCTTTTGCTGGCGTACAATGTCACATCACATTTGGTACTGCTGTAAGAGTTGGAGAGTACAATACAATGTAACTGCCCATGATCAGTGGACAACGCCAATTACCGACAAAGATACAAGTCTCAACATCCTCAAATTGAACAATTGATGGTTATGTTACTTCTTGTGTCGTCTCAATTGCGTTTTGAGAACAAACTGGAATATGTCGGCCCAGACGTCTGGAAGTCCAGGTAAACACCAGTGGGTGCAGTCCCACTTTGTTTTGCTGTTTGTCTTGGCTCCATAGAAACGCTTCACATGTGCATCTGGGCGGAAGAGGGAAATGCGGGTGATGTCGATTATTCGAAAGGGTGACTTCTTCAGCTCCCTCACCTCCAGCCTTCTGAAAGCTGTGGAGATGTCACGGGCCACCATGGTTTGAACTCTCTTCGTAGATATGGGTGTGGTGTGGCGGCATGTGGGGGGGTTACCTCTCGAGTAGTGGGAGGGGGAGTAGGTGAGCCACATGGGCACGCCACGGTACCTCTGCTCCACGGTCACGAACCGCTTCACACTGCGGATGGCGGCGCGGTACGCGCTCATGCCGCTCAACCGCACCACCCGGTTGTTGGCCACATACACGGTGGAGCGCACGGCCTCGGCGCCCTGCTTGTCCAGGAACCAGTGGCCCGACATGAACACAGCCAGGTCCACGTGCTGCAGCACGGCCGCCCACTGGTCGTCCATGTGGTCCAGCCACACCACGTAGCGGCTGCCATCGCCCGGCCGCAGCCCATACTGCCTGAACGCCCAGTCCTGGTTGCTGTAGCGCACCAGGTACGGCGCCACCACGGCCACGAGCTTGAGGTTGTAGCGCGGCACGGCCAGCCCCGACACGAGTGTGCCGCCCAGCCACCCCGACCACGGCTCCACGTGGTCGTCCACGCCCAGCTCGCACGCGATGGCCTGCTGCACGTTGCGCGAAAACGAGTCGCCCACGAACGCCACCACCTGCTCGCGCAAATGCACGCACGGAGGGCGCACATCAGACGCGGCACACAGGGTTTGTGACAGACAGGTGGCGGAAGCAGGGCGAACAGGTAGAGGGGGGGAGAAAAGGACAGGGCGAGGGTGATCAAGTGAATTGGTAGGTTGAGCGCGGGAGCGCATGATGGGGCGAGGCGGCTGACCTTGTTGCGGAGCAAGGCTTTGAAGTAGGCGCGGTCGAAGCGTCGGACGGTGCACGCGCTGGGCTTCCACGCGTACTTGGTGTACCCCGTGTCGCGCCGCCCGTTCCGCTCGCAGTTGAAGGCCGAGCGGATCCACGCGCACTTGCTGCTGTACGACCGGCGCCGCGCGTCGTACACCCACCGCCCCATCGTGTAGTCGCACGCTGCGCGTCATGCGACAAACACGCCCTCCCCACGGCGCAATCGCGTTGCAGGCGCACAAGCACAGGGGCAGGGTGCGACACAAGCGTAATCAGTGAATACAAAACACTCTATCGGCGGGGGCTGCGGCGCGGTGCGGCGGGAAGCGGCAGCAAGGCAGCAGGGGCCCACCTAGGGAACGGCGGGTCGCAGTAACAGCGCATTAAGGCACGGGGAAGCGCGACAAGGAAGGGGGGAAAACAGGGGAGAAAAATGCGCAGCACGGCACAGGGGGAACGGGGACGCGCAGCACGGCACAGGAGGGACGCGGGATGCGTTGCAAGGCACAGGGGGGACGGGGATGCGTTGCAAGGCACAGGGGGGACGGGGATGCGTTGCAAGGCACCGGGAGTACGGGGATGTGCAGCAAGGCACAGCGGGGACAGAGAAGCTCAGTCGCAGCTATTGGGATGTGGTTGGGGCGAAACGGATGCGCGATGCGCGGATCGGGAAGGCGAAACATTCACGCGCAGTCGCTTACCAGCGAGTCGACGGCGATTGGTGGAGTTAAGGGGCGGCAGGCGGTCCAGGTCATCCTGCCACGTGGACACCCGCGATATGTTTTCCACACGCGTGGCGGCATTCCAGCTTGCAAGCCCTGGCACGGACTCGAAGCGCGTGACGTGAGCAGGCAGCAGCGCGGAGGCTGCCATGGTTCCTGGTGGGCAGCAAGCAAGGCACGCGTGAGTCACAGCGCCTGCGACGGGAGCTAGAAGAAATCTCTCTGACGTATTAACAATTCCTAAAATTGAGGGCTCGGCAGCGTGGACACTGCATGCTGGTGGCGCTGCTGGTGCCATGCACGAGCAGCCTCACCGCAGAGAAGCACAACGAGCCGCACACATCCTCGCGTCCATACTCCGCCTATCGTCATCCACCGCGTTGCTCGCTCTGCGCCACCCGTCGGATCCTACGCTCGCTAGTGTCGGTACCGTGTACCACTGCTCGACTCGACTGCGTTACAGGACGAGGTACCCACACCAAACGACCTACAAAGGTTATCGTCCTCTTAGTGGATTAGCCGCAATCGCAAAGGTGTTGCACAGGGCATAGGCGGAGAGGTTGTGCAGAGAGGCCAAGGGAGAGGGAGCAGAAAGCAAGGGATGATACTCGAGGGGGTGTTGGAGCAGTGGCATGAGGAAGGAGCTACTCCTTAGGCTACCATTCAACTGAGAGCGAGTGAGCACAGGCAGTCGGTCTCCCAAAGTTCTTCCATCCCGCCTGCCCTGCCTGCTGGAATCCCGTCACTTCGCAACGCATCGCATTCGCGTCTGTTTCGCGACCCGCCCAGGCTGGGACAGTCCCCCCAACCAAGCGGTGTGAGGCCCGCCACCACCTCGCGAACCAAACCACTCCAACGGACTTCGGCCATTATCTCCGATACTCAGATTTCGCCTGAGCGCGTTCTCATATGTAATCAACCTGGAGTTTCTCAACGTTGATTGGTCGTCGCTTTTTAGTCACATTTCTCACGCTGGTCGAACTCACTAGGAAGTGACAAAAACAAAACCATCCAGTTACCCTCCCGACTTGGATATATGTACGGAAATTAAGGTAGTAAGAGAATGAAGCCCATATAATTCACTTGGTAGTGCTCAGTAGCGCAACCGACCTCTAAACAACGCTAGCGAAAGCACTGGACGATGCTACCGAGACCTATTCGGGCATGGCAGAAAACATCAAAACCCCTAGGGACCTGGATGCATTTTCGAGAGGGGTCAACCCTAAACACGGAAATAGGTATTATTTTTAGGGTTGATGCCTCCCGAGTCGCATCCCTTCCCGAGGTGGGTTTTTTTTTTGTCAAGTGGGTTGCAATATGTTTTCCAAAATATTGGGAGGCTTTCGGTATTTAGGGCTGATCCTTCCCGGAAATCATATAGGTTCGCTACGGGCATTATATTTTTTTGCAGGTGCTTGAATTCCTTTTTTTGAGTGACTGTACACAAATACGAAACAGAATAGATTCATACTATATCGAGAAAATGCGCTTCTGTTAGTGATTACACCTGAGAATGAGCTCAGGCGAAATCTGAGTATCGGAGATAAAGGCCGAACGGACTTTCGCAAATGCGTCAGATGTGTCAGGTTCTACTGTGCATGTTGGCTGACCCACAACAGAGTGTCCACAATTTGGTTCCAAATAAATGATTTGTTATAGCTAGCAAACACAATACTTTGTATGATGTGGGTATGCAGGTGTTTCATAAGTATGACATATGATTACCGGTTCCGTGACTAAGTCGGAGTTTCGGACCACCAGATGAGAGGAATTTACACGGTAGAATAAAAAAAGGCGCATTCAGTGGTTCCATTCCATTGCACCTGACCGACAGCCATAACGCCTGGTGTACAGTAGGTACCGTAATCCTTTCTATTCTAGCCATTCAACAGCATACGGTAAATCTTTCTGTACCTGGGCAGTAGCGTTAACCCCATACTGTCTAACAAGATGCTTTACAGTGAATGTTTGGGCATTGTACGGAATGTTTCTTAAAACCGCTTGAGCAATATTGTGATGGTGAATGCATTTGACATCATGACTCCACAATACGTGGCACTATATGAATCTCAGCCCACACGAGAAGCAGGTCAACTTAACACCAACTGGCTTGGGAGCCAGGTGAAACTTGTTCTCCAAATGGACTAGTTTGACCCGCTTGCTCTCCATCTTGCGTTCCAGGACCTTTCCCCTTCGCTCCAGTGCTGCCATGCGGGCCACCACCCTCTCTGTGCGTTCAATCAGCACACGCGCCTCGTCAGCCTCGCCCTCCACCGCTGCCAGCATCTCGCTCACCTCTGCACGCTTGTCCTTGCCCTGCCGCCCCATCACCGCTGCCGCTCGCAGCCCCATCTCCGCAGCCAGTGCTGCGCGCTCTCTCAGCCCGTGCATGGCGATCAGCAGCACGTCCCGCCTCGCCTGCAGCTCCTTCAGCCCCACCGCCGGCCACTCCTCTTCCTCTCCACTCGCCTCACTGCCGCCTTGCATGCGCCCCCTGCTCCTGCTCCTGCTCCTGCGGCGCATGCCGGCCCGCCCTGAGCTGCCAGTGGACACCGTTGCCACCACCCGCTGCTCACCACCCGCCTCCACCACTGCTGCGCCCGCCCCCTCCTCAGCGCCTTCCGGGCTGCCCTCCTCCTGGGCACCCCCCTCCTCATGCCTTGACGCTGCACCTGCCTCTCCTCCGTGCTGCACCTCTGCCGCATCCCCGCCCACAGCCTCAATCTCCGCCACTGCACACCTTCTCTGCAGCCCAGTCCCTGCAATGTCCCCACAGCCATCTGCCCCCCTGGCAGCTTGGGAGCTGCCAACCAGGGCAGCGGGGGCAGCAGAGCTCGCGGCGGGCAGCAGAAGGTGCAGGCGGCGGTCGAGGTGGGTGCAGCGGTTCTCAGCGGCGCGGGCGCGGTGCACGGCGAGTTCGAGGGCGCGGTCCTTGACGTCCACCACCTTGCTCGTCAGCTCCAGACACACGCGCAGCTGCAGCACGCGCTGCCGCAGCCGACCCTGCCATGCCACCACGCGCTGTGCCTTTCCCACCTGCGCCTGCAGCGCCCGCACCAGCTCCTCCAGCCGCCCGTTCTCCTCCAGCACCTCCTCCACCTCCCTCTCGCGCTGCTCCTGCTCGCCCTCCTCGCCCGCGCTTCCCCCATAGTACTGCGCCACTGCCTGCTTGGCGCGACTCCACGCACCCTGCCGGGGCACCGGCAGCGTGAACGCCGACTCGTACTCGCCGCCACGCCGCTCCTCCACGCCGCAAGCGCTGCCAGCGTCTGCAGCACGCTGCTCACTGCCACCGCTCTGATGCCACTGCTCCGGTGGACCTTCAGGCTCTTCCCCGCCCACCGCACTCGGCCACGCTCTCCCTTCAAATGCACCACCATGCGCACCCCCCTCCCCCCATTCCCTGCTGCCCGCCTGCATCTCTGCGCCCCCTGCTCCCCTTGACCCCCGTGCACCGGCTGCAGCCTGCCCACCGCCCACCCCACTGGCTCCACCCCGCTCGTCACGCGCACACCTTGCTTCCTCTGCATCCTCTGCAGCACCACCACCGCCACCACCGCCGTCACGAGCGCTGCCAGGATGCGGGGCTTGAGATTCCTTGGCTTGAAGCACGTCTCGCCGCACCACTCCTCCTGGAACCCGCTGCACTGACTTCCCTTCACCAACAACTCCACCCTCCCCCTTTGCTGCCTGCAATCTGCTGCATTCCTGCTCCACGCGCCCCCTGCCCGCCGCCGTGCTGCCATGCGCGCCCTCCTGGGCGGCGAGCAGCGCGCCTCGGAGCGCTTCGTTGTCGGCGTGCAGGCGGTCGATCAGCGCCGCTGCCAGCTCCTCGCGATGCGCGGCGGCGTCCGCCTGCCCCTGCAGCCGCGCCAGCTCGCCATCCACTCGCTGCATCGCCTCCTCCTGCTCCCTCTCCCGCTCCGCCGCCGCCCGCAGCGCCCCCGCCAGCTGCCCGCGCAGCACAGCCACGGCGCTGCTGCCCTCCTCCCGCGCGCCCTGCGCACACGCCTCCGCCACACACAGCGCTGCAGGTATGATGCGCGAGGGGGCGGGGAGGGGGGAAGAACGGGCGTGGGAGGGATGAGCAGTCAAGGAGGGCAGGTGCGTGGTGGCAGCGTGAGGGCACGGGGGGTTAGCGCGTGGTGGGCGGGTGAGGAGGCAAGGCATGGCGCAGGTGAGGGTGAAGGCGCTGACCGTTGCGTGCGTCGGCCAGTCGGTGGCGCAGGTGGCGCAGCTCGTGCTCCAACTCCACCTCCTGCCGCACACACGCAAGGGGATGCGCGCACACACAGGGAGTTGGGCGCACGCAGACGGATAAGGGGATGGACGCACACAGACGGACAAGGGGACGGGCGCACACAGGCAAGGGGGATCGACGCTTTAGTCAGGGGGATGGGCGCACACAGGCAAGGGGGATCGACGCTTTAGTCAGGGGGATGGGCGCACACAGGCAAGGGGGATCGACGCTTTAGTCAGGGGGATGGGCGCACACAGGCAAGGGGGATCGACGCTTTAGTCAGGGGGATGGGCGCACACAGGCAAGGGGGATCGACGCTTTAGTCAGGGGGATGGGCGCACATAGGGCAAGAGAAATAACGAACGAGGCAGCGAGGGACGGTGAGGCGCATGTGAAGAGGCAAAGGGGGGAAGAGGCACAGCGTGCGCGGATGCGCTAGGAGGGACTGCGCGTCACGCATGCATGACGCCACTGCTTGCACGCGGGCCCTGCGGTGCTCTCCCTGTCCTGCCATGCCATGCCGCACCCACCACCACCCACTCCACGCTCACCAACGCACGGGCTCTGCTACCTTGCCCCCTGCGGATTCCTCCCCCTTTCCCCCCATGCGGCAACCTTTCCCCATGCGGCAACCTTTCCCCATGCGGCAACCTTTCCCCATGCGGCAACCTTTCCCCATGCGGCAACCTTTCCCCATGCGGCAACCTTTCCCCATGCGGCAACCTTTCCCCATGCGGCAACCTTTCCCCATGCGGCAACCTTTCCCCATGCGGCAACCTTTCCCCAAGCGGCAACCTTTCCCCATGCGGCAACCTTTCCCCATGCGGCAACCTTTCCCCATGCGGCAACCTTTCCCCATGCGGCAACCTTTCCCCATGCGGCTACCTTTCCCCATGCGGCAACCTTTCCCCATGCGGCTACCTTTCCCCATGCGACTAACTTTCCCCATGCGGCAACCTTTCCCCATGCGGCTACCTTTCCCCATGCGACTAACTTTCCCCTGCGGATGCCTCCCCTCTCTTCCTTCCCCTCCCCCCTCACCCGTACCTTTCCCCCTGCGGCTTCCTTTCTTTCCCCCCGCTACCTTCCCCCCTGCGGCTACCATTCTTCCCCCGCGGCTACCTTGCCCCTACCTTGCGCTGCCAGAGCGCCTCCTTGTCGCGGTGCGCGCCGAGCAGCACGGCCACCTCCTCCTCGTGGTACCGCCTCGCGCGCTCCGCCTCGCGCCTCGCCGCCGCCGCCTCGCCTCTCGCCTCCTCCACCTGCCGCTGCGCCTCTTCCCGCGCGCTCCTCGCGCCGGCCAGGCGCTCCTCCTCCAGCGCGCGCTCCGACCGCGCCTGCACGCCCCGCGCCGCGGAGGGGTGGGACGCAGGCAGGTGGGGAGGAGGGGTGGAGAGGGTTACAAGGGACGGGCGGAGGGGCGAGGCGGGAGGGCGAAAGGCAGTCACCGGCGTGATGATCACGGCGGGACCAACCAAGGACTGCACCGCACGGCACGGCAGCGTTGCCTGACGCACCTCTAGTTGAGCCCTTAACTCGCTGCACTCTATGCGCGCCGCCCACAGCTCGAGTCGCAGGCGGTCCATCTCCGCGTGCATGTCGTCCACCTGCGACGCGACGAGCGCACGGAGAGATGAGAGGGCTGACGTCGGCAGAACGGCAGGGCGGGGCATGATACGTGAACGGGGAATCGACGTGCGCGATTCGGCGAAAGGAGTGAGCAAAGGGTGATTGAAGAATCCCCGACGGCCCACCTTGATCGGATGGAACAGCGCGCGAGGTGGAGCCTCCGCCCCGTTATTCGTGGCGACAGCAGGCGCGGCAGGCCCATCACGGGCCGCCGATATCGCCGCCTTGCCAGGCGGTGCCTGCTCGCCGTCATCCAAGCATGCGACGGCACCGTCTTGCGCGACACTGTCCTGCGACAGATGCGCGAACGGGGAGAGGCGGGAGAGAGATAGGGGAGCAGCAGCGCACAGGAAGGCGGCATGAGGGGAGTGCTCGTGTGGTGTACCACGTAGCCTTCTCGCTTAGACAATTAACATGTCACCAGCACAGTCAAGAGCGCTCAGTGTGTGAAACATCGAACCTGCATGGCTGTCGCCGGGTCTGAGGAGGCCCATCCCGTGCGGTCGTGCCAGAGACGATCCATGACTTCTCTTGTAACTTGCTCGCTGCTGCTGAAAATCCGTCCTTGTGCGAAAGCAAAATGCCGGTGCGTTCTCAATCCAACGTAGTCGTCGTCAACGGCGGTCACCATGGCTCGGACAAGGGAGGGGAACGTTTTACGACGGTGTGTGGAGGCAGCTATTAGGCGGTTGGTGGATGCAATTCATCAGCATGCTTGTGTTGCGGCGTCCAAAGGGCAGCGCGGTGGAGTATTTGGTTCTAAGTGCCCACCGCTCTCGACTCTCCTCTTGTATTGCGGGCGTGGATCGATGAGAGCTGCCCACGACGACTTGGGCCTGCCTACCGCCAAACAGCTCCACATACGGATGTTTTTCCGAATTTCAGTTCGGGCAGTTTCAGTATAGATCGCCAGCAGCCTTCACTTTCAACCCATTTCGCTCACATGGGCACGCATGAGGTATCTGGGGCACATGGATACACCTACCACACACACCGTCCCACTCTCTTGTCCAGGAAGCTTTACATTACGTGCACTGTACTAATCTATTTGAGAGGAGCGATTCACCCTGTTGGCTTGCATAGCCCCACACTCACAGTGTCGCCGAGGTTAACTCAACGACGCTCGCAATTGGTTGCATCGGTGCTGGCCACTGGCCTTCTCCAGAAGGCAAGCAAGTTGCCTTTTTCCGCATGCATTTCGGATAGCGCTGCCAGAACGACCAAACCAATATTTGGGCTGATAGCGTCCTCGCCAAAACTTCTCTCGGTAATATTTTTGCTTCACCTTGTTCTTTCTGGGCTGATAAACTGGATGCAGTTGCCAAACACAGTATCCAATTTGCTGGCATACCGTATTGTGTGGAAAATCAAGTGACTGGCAAGCGAAACTGCAAGTTAATGGAGCTGAATACAGCATATTGCGACTCCTTGCAGAGTTTCGACCAAATGTGTTTGTACCGTCACCCCCCGGATATACCCCCATGGGGGGCAATAATAAAACAGGTTTTTTCAAGGGGGTGGGCTTATAATCGAGTAAATTTATAAGCGCCGGCGTTTATAAAATGACATTCATATTTTTTATATTGTTTAACACCAAACTGTAGGTCTCGTGCTTGCCCTTTCAATCGAGTCGAATTTACATGGGGTCGTCTGTGAAATTCTCGCGCGCGCTGGGAGACACACCCAATCTGACTCACATCCAGCTCCTGACAGCTCCTGCTGACTGGACCCGCATCCAGTGCAGGGTCCGAATGTGAAGGGAACCGAATCTGCAACATATCTGCCTGCTAAAGTAAAAATCATTACAACGTTTTGTACACATTTCAAATTTTAAAGTTTACGTGCGCTTATAATAAAACTAGTTTTTTCAGGGGGTGCGCTTATAATCGAGGAGGGGATATAAGCGCCATATGCCAATTAGAAGCGCCAGGCGCTTATCCTAGGGTGGCGCTTATATCCGGGGGGTGACGGGTATCTTGTGCAAAATCTGAGGTTTGTGCAATGCAACACAAAATTCTCTTCCATCTAGATGGGAGCCCTCATGCAACACCGCATCCATAAATACAAGCCAGTGAGCGCACACATCAGTCGAGTGTCGTATGGCGGGCAGCATGCAGCGCAGACTCGAGGAAGTGCACATAGTGGTTGAAGCAGTGGTCGCGGATGGAGCGCGCCAGCATGAGAGGGTCGCGCACCAGCTCCCCCACGCCCATCGCCAGCGCCTTCTCCGCCAGCGCTGGCGGCAGACTCGCCACCATCGACTCCGACCCTGCAGGCCACACCCATGCAGGTCAGGCAGCAGGGGACGGGGAATGGGAGGGGGGAATGGGGGAACACACATTGTAGTTACAGCAGATGACTAGCGGATATTGTAATGACTTGACTGGTGTTTTTGCGATGCAAGACTAGTGGGCACGACGAGTGAGTGATGCATGTGATGTGTGTGTGCAGCACCTGTTGCCTGCATGTAGTGCACGAGGCCCACTGCTTGGAAGGCCATCGGGTCCCAGGACAGTCCTGTGGAGAGCGGTGGGGCGCTGGTGGAGGGGTGCAGGCCCAGCAGCGAGCGCAGCAGGGGAGTGCGGGCAAAGGCGGAGCAGAGGGGGTGGGCGAGCAGGAAGGCGCGCGGGATGATGTCGCGGTCCAACACAAACGCCCTCGCCGCCTCGCTTGGTAGGCCCAGACTCGCCAGCACACTGCACCGCGCTGCACCCCTGCTGCTGCTGCTGAACGGCGAGGAGGGGTGGAGCAGCGGTGCATGAGGGAAGGAGAGGAGGCCGGGGGGAGGGGCATGCAGATGGGGCGAAGCCATGTGAGGCCATGAGGCGGTGGTGTGAGCGGTGGGAGGGCGGCCGGCAGCACGGTGCAGCAGGGGGGAGGAGGGGTGCGCGTGTGCAGAGGCGAGGAGGCGGGAGAGGTCGCTCGGCGCATGGGCAAACTGGTGGGAGAGGCTTTGCGGGGCGGAGGGAGAGGGCGAGGATGAGAGCGACGCGAGGACAGGGAAGGAACCGAAGGTGTGCGCGGAGAGGTGTAGGGGGGAGGCGTCTGCGCGCGTGTTGGGCGCGCGCAGGTGGAACATGAGCATCAGCAGCAGCGCCAGCGACCCGCCCAGCGAGTGCCCTCCGAAGCGCAGGTGGGTGATGCCCTCGCGGCGCATGTCGGCGGCGAGCAGCGGCAGCACGCCGCGGTACACGTCCTCCGCGATGGCGTGCACGCCGCCATGCACCAGCAGCTCCACGCCCGGCGGCGTCAGCGCGCGCTCCAGGTGCACGGGGCGCACCTGCAGCAGCTGCCGCCACAGCCGCCCCACGTCCACCTCGCTGCGGTCCACCGCCACGCCGCGCGCTATCACGTAGCGCGTGCGCCCGCCCTCGCGCGGGCACGGCGGCGAGTCGACGACCATGTACGCCGTGAAGGGCGTCTGCTGGCACGCGCGCAGCGTCAATCCCAAGGCGCTCACGTGCGGCGTGGGGTCGCGGTGGTACACCAGCGCGGACAGCCGCGCCATCTGCGCCCGCGCCGGGTTAGGCAGGTGGGATGGTGGGGGAAAGCGGGGCGATTGGGGGGAAAGATGGGAGAGAGAGACGACGAGGGGAGGGAACGAGTGTCGTGAAGGTGAGGATGCGCGAACATCTGTGGAGCGCACTCGCGCATCGTGTGTGTCACGTTGCTACATGGCTTGTCATGGATTCCCATTATTGCCTCGGAAGCCTCTCGATTCTCGTCTTTGCCATTGCTCCTTAACCCACCGCTGACACATGGCTGCCTGATCACGAAACGCACGTTACTGCTAGATCCCAAAACCCCTATCACCCGCGCGCTCACCTGGGAAGCCGACGCCAACTCGTCCACTGTCGCACGCGGCGCTGACTGAACGATCTGTTTGCGAAGGTCGGCATTGTCGCCAGCCCTAGCGTCGTCGTCTCGAGGCGGCGACAGGAACGGCAATCGCTCCCTGCGCTTTCCGCTCCGCCCGCTGCTCACGCCGCCGTCTCGTCGTCCGCTCCGTCCTGCACCCGATCCCAATCCTCCGCTCCTCCCTCCCGCCAACGGCCAATGCAGCCCGCTATCAGTCGCCCCCGCGGCTGGCGCTCTTCGCTCCACCGCCACCGCCTGCACGCGGAGGCGGTGGGAGTGAGGCCGCCGTGTGCGGGGCCGACCGCGGGTGCAGGCTTGGCGCAACGCCGCGCTCCCGCGCTCAGCGCACAAGGCGCCATTTAGATCCGCCGCTCTGCACGGCGCAATGAAAGGCCAACACCGACTTCTGAAGCCCCCAGCGCCAGCAGTGAAGGCGCCAGCGCCGAGCTCGCCCGCGCCCGCATCGACTGGTCCCCGCGAGCAGCGCGCGCGATGGGTTGCCGCGTCCGCGGGAGACACGTGATGGGCCAGCTGCGCCGCGGGAACGAGGCGAGCATTGGCGCGCTGCGGGCGATGATCGGTAAGGGAGAGGTTGGAGGAGAGAGGGCGGAGGGCGGCGAGGCACGACGGCGACTGGCGATGGGTAGTTCCAGCGACGGAGTCCCTGGAGAGGTCGGGTCGCACGCCGCTTTGCAGCGACTGTGACGTTTGTGATATTAGTCGCATGATCGTGTGGTGACGAGCAAGGGAAGTGGCGAGCAGCGAGCCAGAGAAGCAGTAGGGCGGGGCGTGCACCAGCAGGATGGGCCTGGTGGGGACGAAGAATGGCCCGCTTTTGGCGCTCCAAATCAATGGCTGGGGCTCGCCGGATTTGCGGTGGATGTTCCAGTGTGGAATCGCTGTACAAGTAGTCGCTGGCGTGCTGGCGCGGCCTGTGGCCTTGGCTCAACGTCGCGGGCAGCTCAGCCCGACGGGAGAAGGCTCATCAACCAGATCGGCCGGATCGCGCTCTCACGTTTTCCACGATGCCACCGCAAACCGTACAATCCTTCAGGTGCTGTTCTAAATCTTATCTCTAAAATGGCTTCCCTGAATAATGTTACGCAATGTTCTGTCTTGTCAATCTAAGCTGATGGCGTGCTGCTAACAAGTCCATAAGCGAGAGAGGGGGGTGATAAGGGAGGCCGTGGCTTGGTCACAGCTGATCAGGCAGGGTGAGGTCGAGCGCGCGAGCCGCGAGTAGGGGAGAGCAGGGGAAGGCAGACAGGCTGCTTGGATCTGGTGAGGAATTTTGGTGGGAGGAGATTGGCGTCGAATTGAATGGGAGGCGGACGATGGATCACATCGAGGCGGCAGGTGGGGGAAAGTTCTGGTGGTCTACGTGGCATGCCTGACTAAGTTGGATCACTAAAGCGCAGCGTGGGCGGTGCCACTGAGCGAGTCCCCGTTGGATCCGCGTCAAATCTGGCGCCACCAGCACAGCGCACCCATTCGCCACGACGACAATCCAATCCGTCATTAATAATTCGCGTGCGCGGAGCCTTTGTCAAAGGGCTTCGCCAATGACGAAAGCTCCCGCCACCAACAGCTGGCTGAGCTGGGCCTTGAGTTTCGCGCACAGTCGCGATGAGAAATCTGAGCCCCAGGTTCTTGACTCTGGAGTGTTCGCAAACAGAGCATTGGCTTTCGAGAGCTGTTCGTCGTCGGAAGCTTTGCTTCTCTGGTGAACTGAGTCCACAGCATCCGAAATTCGCGAAAAGATGATTCTCGCTACCTTGAATTTGGCCAATCATCGTAGTACCCGTCAGCTGGAACACTAGCACGACGCTTCACTCGGAGACTGTTCCAAGTATTTCTATTGGTTGAAGAAACTGTAACAAACATTTGCGTGATGACATTGCATCCGCACTACATTCAGATGACTGCAGGGAAAATATTAGAAAGGTATCATGTTAGGAAGGGCAATAATGACCATTCTCACAACAAAGATTAGCACTTACAAGGTACCCGATTTCCTGCTCAACTGTAGTGCCAGGTATTTAGTGCTGTATGTTAGAATTACTATTCATTGCTCCCATGACTGAGGCAAGCAATATCAGTTTCAGCTATTTCTTGATCGGTTGAAAGAGTAGGTGAGAAACTACTATCATCACTCCCTGTCTTCATTCTCTTGGCCCCAATAATCTCAAGCACGTCTGGTGAAGGCACAACCGTGTTTTTCTTTCGCGTTCTCGTTGTCGTGCGCGGCCTCCTAACTGTACCGGGTGTACCTCCCTGAGTTTGATCGGGGTTGGGACTTCTTTCTGCTGTAGTTGCAGCGACATGCATTTCTGGGGCCTGCTCCTTCAACTCCACACCTGCCTCACCTGCATAATAACCCACTCCTCTCCTCCCTTCACTGCTTCCTCTTCTTCTCCCCACCACTCCTCCCATCTCTGCACAGACTTTTGGCTGGCCCCCTAATTGCCTCGCTCCTACTGCCCACCCTTGGCCCCTCATGCCGAATCTTCCCCGGCCCCCCAGTGCCCCTCCCCCCAATCTTCCTGCTGCTGCCATCCCAGCACCCACCGCAGCAGCAGGGCGGAGCGGCAGGCGGGTGGGCAAGCGAGAGAGGGGGCGGTGAGAGGGGCGGGTGGAGGGAGGCGGGGCGGAGTCGATGGGGGCGAGCATGCCGCGGATCTGGCAGGAGAAGACAAACGTCACCTGCACATGGTGCCGCATGCACGCACGCCCGGGGGGTAGTGGGGGAGGAACGGACGTGGTAGGTGTTGAGGAGGGTGTGAGGGAGGAGCGTGGCATGGTGAAGGGAAAGAGGGTGCAGCAGCAGCAGAAAGGGAAAAGCCATGGGATGTGGAAGAAAGTAAAGGTTGTCGCAGATGGGAAAGTGGGAAACGCATGTGGAAACAAGAGCTTTTGAGACTCAATGTGGTGAGATGAGTTACATCGAGACAGGCTGCCTTCTGTAATGCCGTGTCAGGGATAGTTGCGGATGGACGGCTGTGATGCGCCCACTGGTCAAGCTGCTCCTCCAATGGGTTACCCACCTGGCACATGCATGCACACACACACACACACACACACACACACACACACACACACACACACACACACACACACACACACATACACACACACACACGCACGCACACGCACACATGGACACAGCAACCGAAGTGGAGGAAACAAGGTATGGCATGATTCCACTCCCTCACATGTGGATCACGGCACTCCACCCTCACATGGCAAAGCTGCCGGGTGGCAGCACGAGTGAGCAGCACGAGTGAGCAGCATCAGAGCCTCGCCACCCCTTCAGTTTCACCTGCTTCTCCCACTCCTTCAGTTTCCCCGCCACCCCTGCCACCTCCGCAAAGCCCCCAATGTCACTCTCGCCCTCCCCTTTCCCACCGCCACTGCTCGCCCGCCCCGCCTGCACATCCTCCTCATCGCTCCCCTCTGCCTCTGCCTTCTCCCTGCCCCCACTCTCCACTCCACTTGACCCCTCCTCCCTATCCCCCCCCTCCTCCCCTCCTCTTACTCCTCCTCCCTCTCCTTGTCCCGCTCCCTCGCCCTCCCCAGCAGCCGCAGCTGCCAGCTCCTCTAGAGACCCTCCCCCTCGCCTCTCCATCTTCGCCCCCTTCCCACCACCACCTGCGCCCTCCCTTCCCACACCTTGCCCGCCCTTATGCTGTCCCCCCACGTGGCAGCCTCCCCTGCCGGCTGCATGCAGCGAGGGGCGTGAGGGGCAGCGCTGGCACCCCAGCGAGTCATGCGTGTCGGACCTGCGGAGGGGGGAGGGGAGGAGGAGGAGGAGGAGGAGGACAGCGCACATGATCAACGTGCACCACACCGCCTTGCGCCCACCACCCGTGTCACATGTCACCATGCCATGCCATGCCTTGTTGCAATGCAAGCCGTTCACAATATCACCCATGCAGAGCAACAATGCGTGTGAGGGGAGGGTAGCAAAGCGTGCGAGGGAAGGGAGCGGCAGGAGGGGACTGACAGGGTGGAGGAGCGCAGCATGAAGAGGTCCCTCAGCTCCTCCGCTGACAGCAGGTTCACCTGCCACCGCACCACACCACACCACACCGCACCACATCACATCACGTGGCATGACAAACATTGTCAGTGTGCCCCGCATGATCATTGTGCAAGGGGAAAGACCACTAGTACACCGTATGCTCATCCTGCTTCTCACCTGCGCCCGCCCCTCGCTCTGCTTCTCTCTCACCTGGGCGCGCCCCTCGCTCTGCTTCTCGCTATCCACTACTTGCTGCAGCCCCTCCTTCGCCATCTGCCTCTGAAACACCTGCGAGCCCTCCCATGCATGCACACACGCACACACAGAAGCAGCGGCGGCACACGGCAACACAAGGGATTAGCAGCGCCATGCTTCAGAGCCAACCAAGCCTTTGGGGCTCAAACAGGACGAGGAACAATTGCCTCACGAGCAGGGCGCTCAACCTCTCTTTGACGCTGCCGCTCACCTTCTCCTCGATGGTCCCCGCTGCCAGGAAGCGGTACACAAACACGCGCTTCTTCTGCCCATCCCTCCACACGCGCGCCGCCGCCTGCCGTCGCACACATGGGCAAGGGGGGCGACCCACACACATGGTGGCAGGGCGCATGGCGCATGGCGCATGGGGAAAAGGCAAGGCGGGGTGAGAAGCAGGTGGACAGGAGACACTTCACCACCCAAGCACGGTGCATGGCTGTGCTTCTGCTGCCACCCTGCACGCCTGCCCCTTCCGGCCAACCTGACTCTTCTGCTACAGGGACTCTGAACTTTCAACCTGCCAGCCACTTGCTCCGTACTTCACGCATCCCCCCTAGTTGCCGAGGCCCACCAAATAACCGGTCCCTCTAATGCTTATGCTGCCAGCGCACCTGCTTGTCGTTGGCGGGGTTCCAGTCGGGGTCGAAGAGCACGAGTCGGTTGCCGCCTATGAGGTTCAGCCCACACCCCCCCGCCTTGCTGCTCAGCAGAAACACAAACTCGTCCTGCCATGCCATGCCCCGCCATGCCATACCATGTAACATGCCACAACCCATATATCACACCATGTCACGGATGCATACAACACACATGCATACAACACGGACCAATGAGCTGTAAGAGAAAGATCACAGCACCTCCCTACAAATGTGAGGAGCATGTGAGTGAGGAGCGCAGCAGGGATGTGAGAAGAGCAGCAGGGATGTGAGAAGAGCAGCAGGGATGTGAGAAAACTGCTGCACTCACGGCGTGGGGGTCGTTGAACTGCTGCACTCACGGCGTGGGGGTCGTTGAACCGCTGCACTCACGGCGTGGGGGTCGTTGAACTGCTGCACGAGCTTCTGCCGCTTGCCCACCGAGGTGCCTCCATCCAGCCGCATGAAGGGGTACCCATGCTCCCGGCACAGCTGCGCAAATAGGTCCAACGTCTGCCACCCGGAGAAAATGGAGGGGGAAGAGTGAGGGCAGCAGAGGGGGCAAGGGCAGACGTGGCGTGCAGGCGGGTTGGTGGCCGGCAGGGCTGCGAGCATGGCGTGGAGGTGGTGGGAGCACGCACCTGCGTGTAGTTGGAGACGAGCACGATGCGGTCCGTGGTGTGCGTGCGCAGGTGTGCAAGCAGCCGTGCCAGCACCACCATCTTGCCCGACAGCTGCACCCACGTGCCACCGCCCCCCGTCCATGTGCCGCTCCTGCTACCACACGGTGCAAGAGGCGGTGCAGCGCGGACGATGGGTGGAGGGGATGGGGGAGAGGCATTGAGAGTGATTGTGACAGGGATGACGCAAGCATGGGTGGATGTGAGTGAGGGGCCTCTTCCCAACCAGCATAGCATTGCAACCTGTGATGCCCCTAGGTACGCACCTCCCATTGAACATTTCAGGTGGGAAGAGCGGGAGAGCGTCCTCAAAGCCAGCTGCCTCCGCCCCTCCTGCCCTGATGGAGTCGTACAGCAGCTGCTCGCCATGCATGCATGCACGCACGCCCAACCCAGCCCCCATGCACCCGCCATGCACATGATTGATTAGTGGAGGAGGGGGCAGCATGAGAGGGACGAGGTGACACGTGGGGCTGTGCTGGGTGAATCCATGTGGTGATGTGCATAGTGGCATGTGCATAGTGGCATGTGCATAGTGGCATGTGCAGGTCGCCGCACATCAGCAGGAGAGGCCTTTGCCACATCACCTCACCTCACATCACCTCACATCACGCCTGTACATCTCCATGCGCATGCTTTAAGAGAGACCGACCACATGACTTGTGGACCTTCCACAGCTTGCTTCCTACTCATCCCATCTGACCCACCTTGGAATAATTGCCCCCCCAAACCCGCGCACCTTGGGGTGGTTGCAGAGCTTCTTGAGCGCCGTGATGGACGCCAGCGCCCGCGCCTTCTTCCCATCCTCCAGTGCCGTGCGCACCTGCATGCTCCCATGCCATGCACACACGCGATTTCATGCCAAGCCATACCATGCCATGCCAATGCACGGAATGACCACCATATGAGCGCCAGGCAGGCATCATGGAGCATGGCCTAGCATGCCTCCAACCCCAGGTCCAAGAGCGCATGGATGGGCTTGGGGTGGGTGAAGGTGAAGCAGCTCACATTCTTGGAGTGCATGAATCGCTCGTACAGCTGGCGCTGCAGGTCTGTCATGCGACAACACACTATCTCCACTATCTGCCACACGCATGCACACATACACGCGCATGCACACGCATGCACACGCATGCACATGCACATCCAAATGCACATGCACACATATGCACATGCACACACACCCGCAGGAGAGATTAGGAGTGACGTGCAGGTAGAAAGAGGTGTAGAAAGAGGTGGTGGATGTGCTGCCAGGGGCGCACACGCACACACACACACACACACACACACACACGCACACGCACACGCACACGCGCTCACAGGTGCAAGGTGGGTGATAAGCCCAACGGGGGTGGCAGGACGGAGGAGCACACCTTGGGAGGCAGGTGGTTGGAGAGGAGCGCGTTGGTGCGGCGTAGAATGAACTGCGGGGCGCCCACGGGCAGGGGACACAGGCAAGTGCGGGTAGGGGTCAGGAGGGGAGGCGATTAGAGGGGGGGAGGGAGGAGAAGTGGGCGCATGGCAGCGCTGACAGCAAGTGCACGGATGGGCGCGTGGCTCCACTGCATCCCCCACGCGTCTACCACCCTCTTTGTGTACCCGCGCCCCCACCCTCCCCCCACCTGGTTGACGCGGTCGCTGAGCTCCGCAGATCGCTCTGCCCCCAGCGCCCTCTCCTCCTCCGATGCGTGCGGCTCCCTCCCCGCCAGGATGGGCGCCTGCGCGTGCCACCATGGGTGATGAGATGACGTGGTGGAGAGAGGTGGCAGCGCGGGGAGAGGGTGAGAGACGCGCGGGCGGTGTGAGATTGAGTGTGAGAGGAGTCGAGGCACGACTCGACTCGACTCGCTGATAGCCAGCATGGGATGGGTGCAGCATGGCAGCAAGCAATTAGGGAAGAGCAAGGGAGCCGAGGGGGAATAGAAGCGGGCCAACTGGTAGTGCAGTGCAGAGGACGAGGTGGGACGTGGGGGAGGTGGGACCTGGAAGTGGCGTCGGAAGTGGGCGGCGTTGCTGAGCACGCCCGGGTTGGTGAAGGACACCATGGCGTAGAACTCCTCCAGATCGTTCTGCACCGCCCCCCACACCAAACCGCACAGCACCACGGGGATGCGGCATGAGAAGAGGAGAGAGGGACGAGGACAGAGGGGGTGTGAAGGAGGAAGGAGGGCGTGTGCTTTGTTGATCTGGATGAGGCCGAGAGCAGAGGGTAATCCGTGAAGGCAACTGTTGGAGTGCCATCCCTCGCTACCCATCACCCTGCAACTGCCTTTGAAACTGTGCGGTTACGTTAAGGGCGAGTCAGGGGCAGTACAGCAGAGCCGCACATTTTATGGCATGGCACGCACCTGCATGGCATGGCATGGCATGGCCCTGTATGGGGCACGCACCTGCATGGGAGTGCCAGAGAGCAGCACTCGTCGCCTGCACGGCAGTCCTGCCAGCGCCTGATGGACACACAGGGGACACGCCAGGGGGCAGGGATGGAGGCGGGGAGCGAACGGACGAAGCAAGGCGTGAGGAGGAGGATGGATGGAAGGAGGATGAAGGACACAGAGCGGCAGGCCGGTGGTGAGATGAACTGCGGGCACGTGAATTGGGAGATCAGCTGTGGTGATTGCTCACATGTGTGGTGAGGGTGCTAACCTGCGTGGCATGGGCGGCTACCTTCGTGGTGAGGGTGCGATCGTTCTTGAGGCGGTGCGCCTCATCGCAGATGACCAGGTCGCACGCCCCCTCGTGCTGGAACGCCGTGGCGTGCAGGCGGAACGTCTCGTACGACACTATCAGCACCTGCCATGGGGGGGAGGGTCATAGTGCCACGCGCACCATGGCTCATGTCATTGCCCACTTCCACGTGCCACGTGCCGGCGCTCATCAAGGGCACAACAATGCCACTCACTCCCTCACATGCTGAACGCCCTGCCACTCTCTCACTCCCTCACATGCTGAACGCCCTGCCACTCTCTCACTCCCTCACATGCTGAACGCCCTGCCACTCTCTCACTCCCTCACATGCGCCCTGTACTCACGTGGTGCATGCCGCGCGGAGCCAGGAACTGTTGGATGCCTTTGAGCGCCTCGGCGCGGCTTGCCTCACACAGCGCCACGCAGCGCACGCGCCCGCCCAGCCACTTGTCGAGCTCCGCCGCCCAGTTGCTGACGAGGCTCGTGGGCGTGACTATGAGCGCTCGCCGCACGAGCGGCGGCCCCTTGGGCCCCTGGAAGCCCTGCTTCAGCAGCGTCCACAGCAGCGCTATCGACTGCAGCGTCTTGCCCAGCCTGGCCGGGTGGGATGGCGCACAGGCGAGGGAGAATGGTTCAGATGCGATGAGATGCGATGAGATGGGAAGAGATGAGATTAGAAGGGAGGCAGAAGAGTGTGTACAGTGCATGGCGTTGCCGTGCCCCATGGGAGGGACAGCGGGAAGGAGGGAGGGAGGGAGGGAGGGAGGGAGGGAGGGAGGGAGGGAGGGAGGGAGGGAGGGAGGGAGGGAGGGAGGGAGGGAGGTGGGAGGGAGGGAGGGAGGGAGGGAGGGAGGGAGGGAGGGAGGGAGGGAGGGAGGGAGGAGGGAGGGAGGGAGGGAGGGAGGGAGGGAGGGAGGGAGGGAGGGAGGGAGGGAGGGAGGGAGGGAGGGAGGGAGGGAGGGAGGGAGGGAGGGAGGGAGGGAGGGAGGGAGGGAGGGAGGGAGGGAGGGAGGGAGGGAGGTGGGGAGGGAGGGAGGTGGGGAGGGAGGGAGGGAGGGAGGGAGGGAGGGAGGGAGGGAGGGAGGGAGGGAGGGAGGGAGGGAGGTGGGGAGGTGGGGAGGGCGTTACCCCATGTCATCGGCGAGGATGCAGCCATAGCAGCCTGGGTCGTCATCGCCCTGCTGGTGGAAGTCCTTGAGCCCCGCCACACACTCAAACATGAACGCCACTCCCTCCCTGCCACCGCCGCACACCACGCAGCACACGCACACACACACATGCACATAGTCATGCAAAGAATAGGCAGCAGAAGCGGGCAGCAGATGATTTCTGCGGGCTTGTTGGGAATAAGTTGGGTGGCAGCGAGGCGCATGGAGTGGAGTGAGCGCACCGCTGGTGGGCGCGGAGGCACTTGGCGAGGATGGGGTCGACGGCGATGGGCTGAGACTGCTCACACGCGTGGAACGGGTCCTCCTCCGGCACCCACAGCACCAGTGGCTCGTACCCCGCCTCCGCTGCCGCAACTGCCTGCGCCTCCTCCTCGCCTTTCTCTGCCTCGCCGTCCTCCGCGTCCTCACCCTCGCCCTGGTCCCCCGCGGGCGCCATGACCAGGGGTCGGCGGTGCACGCCCCCTCCCCACGCCACGAAGCGGCGGCATGCAGCGAGGCGGCGGAGCAGCTCGGGGGAGGCGTTGGTGGTGGCACCAGGGCACGGCGACTTGAAGGGGCGGCGCAGCACAGCCGCGTCCTGTGAGACTGACAGCATGCGCGGCAACAGCGCCCTCCTGCACACCTCCACGTCGCCCCTGAGATTTGGGGGGGTGAAGCAGAGGGGTTGGGCGGTGCGCAGAGGGGTTGGGGGGAGTGCAGAGGAGGGAGATCACAGAGGAATTGGGAATGGACGACGAAGTAACATCTATTCACCTGAGGCAGCTATTCACCTGACACAGCTATTCACCTGAGGCAGCCATTCACCTGAGGCAGCTATTCACCTGAGGCAGCTATTCACCTGAGGCAGCTATTCACCTGACACAGCTATTCACCTGACACAGCTATTCACCTGAGGCAGCTATTCACCTGAGGCAGCTATTCACCTGACACAGCTATTCACTTGAGAAACCTAATCACCTGAGACTGTTATTCACCTGATAAGACAACTATTCACCTGACACTGCTATTCACCTGACACTGCTATTCACCTGACACTGCTATTCACCTGACACTGCTATTCACCTGACGCTGCTATTCACCTGAGCCTGCTATTCACCTGAGGCAGCGGTTCACCTGAGGACGGCAGCCACGTTGGCAGCCTTCATGGCAGCCACTGACGGCTCCTCGTCGCCACTCCCCTCACTCTTCGCCTCCCTCGCTCGCCGCCCAACGCTCCTCACGCCGCTCGCTCCTCGCTGCACGCGTTTCGCTGCCGCTGTTTTCGTCGCCGCTGCTTTGGTCGCCGCTGATTTGGTCGCCGCCTTGCCGTTGCCCTGCTTCCTCCGGCCCCCTGCCCCCTCCTCTGCGCTCGAGCTGCCCTCCTGCTCGTTCCAATCGCCGTCGTCGTCGCCGTCATTGTCCCCCCCCTCGTCGCAACTGTTGTCGCCGCCATAATCCTCGTCGAGACTGTCGTCGTCGTCGCACTCGTTGTCGCTGGACTCACTCACCACCACCTCATCACTCTCCGACTCCGACATTCTTCGCAGCCCGTGCGATCGCGATGGCGATCACGACAAGCCGCACTAGAAAACGGAAGCACGCGGGCACGTCGTTGCAGCAACGACGCCCGGCGAGACTATTGCGGGAACATGCAACGAAGGCGCATCGACAAGATACGGAGTGGCGGGACGAAACAGACAAGTAATGTGAAAGGAGTCCCAATGATGGCAACTGTTGTTCTTGGAATGACTATGGAAGTTCTACGAGAGGGGAATGAGCTTCTAGCTTATGCTGCGGGTGGGCTGGCACGGGCGGCGAGGCGATGGGCGATGATGGTGCAGTGCAGACTGACTGACAACCTGCAGCATCCACAGAACCAGCAATTCTAGGCGGAAGAAATCGAGGTAGCGTCACGATCACGTCGAGGCCGCAGAGGAAACGAATATATGCGGATCAGTACACCCCAACCGAATGCAGGATATAACATTTGAATGCCGATTTGAACCATATATTTTACTCCGAGGTGAATTGCAATATCTCAAAGCATGAATTTGAAGTCCCAGCTCTGCAGTCCCAGAACCCAGCTTCTTGTAATGTTTTACAAATTTCAACACATTATGCGCCTTATGTAATTGAGCGGTGGATATTGGTTATTATGTATCGTACAGTTAGGTCATCCCTACAAGTGTTAGCCTCTGTCACGCTTCGTCAGATGCCCGCACACACCTTCCCCCATCACAGAACCCCCCGCAGCTCCCCGCGATGGGCATCCACTCCATCTTGCGCCAGGCGCGCGCGCAGGGCTGGCGGGACGACACGGTCGAGTACGCCATTTTCCCCGACCCGGGTTCCTTCGAGCTGCCGCCCCCCGCGCCGGTTCAGGCGGCGGAGAGCGACGAGGCGGTACGGCGCGGGCTGGAGGCGCTGCGCGTGGCGTGCCTCGACATCGCGGCGAGGCACGCGGGCGACATGCGGTGGAACCGCGACCCCTTCCAGCTCTGGCCCGCGCCGCCCCTCGCGCGAGACGCGGCGGAGCAGGCGGTGCGCGGCGTTGAGGGGGAGGGGGAGGAGGATCCGCCGTTCCGATGGCGCGACAGGGACGACGACGTGGCTTGGGGTCTGCAGGATGACGACGAGGAGGGGGACGAGGGGGAGGGGGATGAGGGGGAGAAGGCGGACAGTGCAGGAGGAGCGGATAAGCGTGGGGGGGAGCGGGGGCAGGTGAGCGTGCCGGCGCACCTATACGGGCGCACGCAGTACGGCGCGAGTGTGGAGGACGAGTGGGTGGTGGTGTGGCTGCTGCTGCGCATCTCCGCCTGCCTGCCCTTCCTCTCCATCCGTACGCGCGCTCACGTGCGCCCTCCCGCTCCCTCCGCTCTGCCCGTGACGTGCGCTCCCTCGTCCGCCATGGCAGTGCCCCCCCCGCGCGCCTGCATGCGCATACTAGCAGCCCTGGTCTGGCACCACGCCTCCCATTCGCTGCTCCACTCTGCCCTGCCCACTTTATCTCCCCATGCATGCACCCCCCCTGTCCCCGCCCACACCCCCAGGAGTGCGCGACGGTGATGGGGACTTTGTGCTCATCGAGGCGGCCACGGTGCTGCCCAAGTGGGTGGCGCCCTCCTGTGCGCGCAACCGCCTCCTCCTGCGCCAGGTCCGCCCCCTCTCTCTCCAACCCGCGCCGCATGCCCCCCCTACCTTCGCCGCTGCTCCCTGCTCTCCTCCTTGCCACTCCAACCCCTCACCTCCTCCCATCCGCCCCACACGTCTCTCTCCTCTCCTACCCCTCCGTTCCCCATTGCCCCCATTTCCCCTCTCTGCCCCCAGGGTCGCCTGCATCTGGTGCATCCGCGTCTGCGCCGCCCGCCCTACCGCCCCGCCGCGCTGCACACCGCACTGGCCGCCGTGCGCAGTGCCGACGAGCCCACGGAAGCTTCTGAGAAGATTCATCGCGCCGTGATGAGCCGCCTGGAAGGGCTCCCAGGCTCTGCGCTGGCAGCTGTGCACACCGCCAGGTGTCGCCTTCCCATTCGTGCAGCACAGGTCAGTGCACGTGCCCCCGCCCAGTCAGCACGCCCCCACTCTCCCCCACTCCGCTCTGCGCCCCTGTTGCTGATCCATCTTTGCTTCTCCCCACCTTCTCCCCCTTTCTACCCACCCCCCCAGGCAGTGCAGCAGGACCCGTACCTGGCCACCCTGGCAGCCCACGCCTTCCTCAACAGGGACCATGCCGCCTCCTCCCCCTCCCACACACCCTCTCCCTCCCGCCACCCCTCGCAGCCCCTCCCCCTCTTCCTCCCCCACACCTCCTGCCCCTGCGCCCTCGCATCCTCCCGGCCCCCTGCGCCCCCCACCACATCCGCCAACGCCCCCCCCATTGCTCCCCCCCCTGCGCCCTGCCCACCCCCCTGTGTGGCGGTGGTGGACGTGATGGTGGGGCTCCCCCGCGCCTGCTACGCGCAGCTCGCGCTGCTGCCCTTCTCCCCCTTACGCGCCTTCCCCCTGCCCTTCCCCTCCGACCCCCTCTATCCCGCCGCCCTGCTTGGCTGCAAGCTCGCCCTCGGCCTGCACCTGCTCTCGCAGGGGGTGGGCCGGGGGACAGGAGGGAGGGGCAAGAGCAAGGGTGGCGGTGAGGGGAAAGGGGAGAGGGAGAGCGCGAGAGGGGAGGGTGGGGAAGGGGGTGTGGAGGGAGCAGGGGAGAGCAGGGAAGTGCAGGTGTGCGAGTGTGATAAGGTGGTGGTGCCGGCAGGGATGGCAGGGGGTGAGGGCGAGGGAGCGGGCGGTGGGGGCAGGGGGAGGGCAGAGCTGTGCCAGTGGAGCGACCTGTTGCTGTGCCTCACACACGCAGGGCTCTTCCATTCCGCCCACCCGCCCTCTGCTCCCTCCAACCCTGCCGCTGCTGCCGCTGGGGCTGCTGTGGGGGCCGAGGAGCAGGGGACGAGTGGGGCAGTGGGGGAGGAGCGGAGAAGGGCAATAGAGAAGGAGATGGAGAAGCGGTTCAGAGCGGTGCAGCGGTTTGCACAGCTCAGGTGAGATTGGTGGGGGGGGAGGGGAAGGAGGGGTTGAGGAGGAGGGTAGCAGGCAGAGGGACGCTGCTTTGCTCACTCACACTGCAATCACTCCCTCTTTTGGTCCCCTCCCCTGCTCTGCCGCACTCTCTCTTCTCTCAACACCCCACCTGCCTTGACCATCTCGCACTCACCCAAACCCCTCCCTCTTCTTCACACCCCCCTCCCTGACCCACCCCTCCGCAGCGCCACAGCGGCTGAGCCAGCGGCGCGCATCTACTCTGTGCTGGCGGGGCAACCTGCGCCGCACCCGTCGGCCTTCTCACGGGCAGCGCTGCGAGCGGACGACAGCGAGCGGTGGATGGGCGACGCCGTGCGAGCCATGGAGGCGCGCCTGGGCAACCAGCAGGCGGAGGGGCGGGGGGGGGGCAGGCGCAAGGGGGGGCGTGAAAAGGAGGGAGCTGGGGTGGGGGGAAGGAGGAGGGAAGGGAAGATTGGCAAGGCGGGGAGGAGGGAGGGAGAGGAGGTGCAGGGAGAGGAGGAGGCGGGACAGTTGTTGGAGCGACTGAAGCGATTCATGTCTGGCGTTTCTGGGTTTGAGGGCGTGGAGGCCGAGGAGGGTGGTGATGGCAGTGATGGGGGCGAGGGTGAGGGGGGCGAGAGTGAGGGGGGCGAGAGTGGGAGAGGGGGGAGTGGTGAGGAGGAGGAGAGTGGTGGCGGGGGGTGGAACGAAGGGGAGGAGAGTGGTGAGAGTGATGAGGAGGAGCAAGAGGAGAGGGAGGAAGTGCAGCGGGTGAGTGTGGAGGGTGGTGTGGGATTGCAGGAAGAGGAGGAGGATGGTGACGAGGATGGCGGGGAGGTGGTGATGGGGCGGGAGAAGCTGAGGGAGTTTGAGAGGTTTATGGAGGAGTTGGAGGGGGTGATGGAGCGGTACAGCGAGGAGGAGGTGAAGGGGTTCCGAGGCGATGGCAGCTCGGAGGGCGACGAGGACGACGCCAGCGAGTCCGCCTTCTTCTCAGGTCGCCCCCCGCCCCCTCCCTGCCCTGTGCTTCCCTGCCCCTCGTACGTGATTGTGTGAGTGAGAAGTTGCATTTGATGTTGTGGCACAGGTACTCGGCTGCTCATACACACGAATGGGGCTGGTGAGGGGAAGGAGAAGTATGCGCTGGGAACTTGACCAGATCGTTGATTGGGAGTGAGTGTGAGGAAACTTGTAACCGGCTGAGGTTGCACGTAGCCCACGAAAGCCCATGAAAGCCCATGAAAGCCTATGCTACACATGAAAGCCTATGCTACACATGAAAGCCTATGCTACACATGAAAGCCTATGCTACACATGAAAGCCTATGCTACACATGAAAGCCCATGCTACACATGAAAGCCTATGCTACACATGAAAGCCCATGCTACACATGAAAGCTCATGCTACACATGAAAGCCTATGCTACACATGTGCTGACAGCCTGTGCTACACATGTGTTGACAGCCTGTGCTACACATGTGTTGACAGCCTGTGCTACACATGTGTTGACAGCCCATGCTACACATGTGTTGACAGCCTATGCTACACATGTGTTGACAGCCTGTGCTACACATGTGTTGACAGCCCATGCTACACATGTGTTGACAGCCTATGCTACACATGTGCTGACAGCCTGTGCTACACATGTGTTGACAGCCTGTGCTACACATGTGTTGACAGCCTGTGCTACACATGTGTTGACAGCCCATGCTACACATGTGTTGACAGCCTTGATTGAGCATTTCCCCCTCACGTGTGCCGTCCCCCCCCTACGTGTGAGTGGCATCAGAGCCGGGCAGTGACAGCGACTGGGAGGATGTCAGTGACGCGGGCAGCCAGGGGGGCGAGGGCGAGGAGCAGGAGGAGGAGGAGGGTGAGAGCAAGGGGCCTATCTCGGGGCCATTGGTGCTGGGCGGTGGTGGCAGGGGCAGTGGAGGTGCAGGCAGGGGTGCAGGCCGGGGTGCAGGCAGGGGTGAGAGTGGGCCGGGTGAGGGCAGTGGGCCGGGTGAGGGCAGTGGGCCGGGTGAGGGCAGTGGGGCGGCAGGCAGGGGGGGGCGCGGCAACAGGACTGCGCTGGGGCTTCTTTGGCGGGGGAGGCGGGCAGCGGGGGAAGCAGAATGGGGAGGCGAGGAGGGGGGAGGAAGGGGAGATGAAGAGAAGAGATAAGGGCAAGGGGAAAGTGGTGGAGGTGGAGGAAGAGGAAGGGAGAAAAGGAAGTGGGAAGCGAGGGGTGGGGGAAGGCAGCAGCAGGGGAGGGGGTGGGGGAAGGGGGGCGGGAGAGGAGGACTTCTACTCACTCTACTCCAAGGCCATGGCCGCGCAGCTCGCCCCCACCCATGTGCCGTCCTCCTCGCTGCCCCTGCCGCCGCACACCCAGGTACGTGGTATGGCATGCCTTGCTACCAGCAAACAGTGCATGCCTGCCGTGCCTGCCTTCACAGCCACATGCCTCTTTGGCCCTCATGCCCATCGCACTGCCCACAATCGCTCTCACACGCCCCCCAACCCCCTCCCCGTGCGCCTCTCCCCTCCCCCCGCCCCTCCCTCCCCTCAGCGCCCCAAGGGCAACAGCAGAGCAGGCCGGGCAGGGGCGGGTGCAGCAGCAGCAGGAGAGGGGAAGGAAGCGGAGGAAGGGGAGGAGGCACGGCGGGTGGTGGGCAGCCTGCAGATGGCGGCGCGCCTTCAGGGGGGGCTGCCGGGGCCAGCTGCACTGCTGCTGGACGCTGTTAGGGGGGATGCCGGGGTGAAGCGGGGCAGAGGGGGGAAGGGGAAGGCTAGAGGTAAAGGGAGGAGATGAAGTAGGATAGAGGGGAAGGCTCGAGGGGAAGGTAGTGAAGGAGGGGTAGAGATTGTTGATAGTATTTGTGGGTGGATGAGCTCCAGCAGCAAGGAGCTGTCTGACATGCGCACCAGCAGCAAGGCGCTGTCTGACACGCGCACCGTGTCACTCCAATGTTGGACAGCCTGGCAGGATGCCTTGTACCCCACACATTTCCGCCACACACACCTAGATGCCTTCCAAGTGCCCAACCAGCCAGGAGGCACCAACTGGTGCTGCATCGGCAGCTAACGGCTTTGGGGCAGCCTGTGGCACATGGGGCACAGGTCACACAGGCTTTCCACATGGGGCACAGGTCACACAGGCTTTCCACATGGGGCACAGGTCACACAGGCTTTCCACATGGGGCACAGGTCACACAGGCTTTCCACATGGGGCACAGGTCACACAGGCTTTCCACATGGGGCACAGGTCACACAGGCTTTCCACAACTCTTCTGGTGGCGGTGATAGGAAGCTGGTGAGGTCAGGTAGCTCCATGAGCTGCCCCGTGTGTGTTTTCATGCTCTGGATTGAACAGATGTGACACCGATGATTGTATTTGAATACTTCACTCTCACAAAAGTTACATTTGAGCAGAGGGCAGGGCATGTACTACCGGTAGATTTGTCAGCAAAGAGCACGTGCTGACAAGTGTTTAACCAGGAAGGCATGCCTCTGTACCATGACCTACAGAAATGCAGCAGGGAGCGTGGGTGCATGCATGCATGCATGGCAGTGCATGTGCGTCAGTCGCCTTCCAGCAGGCAGTGTGCGATCATGCCCCTGCATGGTGGGTCAAGGCACACACACGCATGAGCGATGCGATGAGAAACAAGGTTGACTGCTCAAGCGTAAGCAAGTGAGCATGCATAACGAGTGGGAAGTAGAGAGGAGGTAAGCGGGGAAGGGGAAGAATTGCTGGGTGAGCAGAGTGGTATGGGAGAGTGAACAGCATGGGTCACCCTGACTCGTCACCCTCTCCCCCCCCCCCCCCACCTCGCAGGCAGCGTGGGTGCATGCATGCACGGCAGCACATGTGCGTCAGTCGCCCTCCAGCAGGCAGTCTGCAATCATGCTCCTGCAAGGGAGGACACGACACGCGGGTACGAGTGATGAGGAGTATGGATGACTGTTCAAGAGGGGTATGCATAACGAGTTACAAGGCAAGAGGGACTACAGCATTATTGGGGAACAAATTGCTGGGAGAAGCAAAGGGACTCGCCTCCGCCTCCCCCGTACCTCTCGCATTGCCTGAGCCAGTGAGAATAGCTCGCACTGCCCGCCCTGCCCCGCGCCAGAAACGCCTCTGGCAGCCCTGCCACCCCCCCTGCTCCACCCGCACCTGCTCCCCCTCCCCCTCCCTCCACCTCCCCCCGTCCACCCTCCCCGTTCTCCCTTCCCCTTTCTGCTCCACCTGTTCCCCTTTTTCCTCCCATCCGCGTGGCTTCCCCTGCTCCCACCACTCCCCAGCGGCAGCTGCAGCAGAGGGGGGAGGACGAAGGGGAGAGGGGCAGGGAAGGGGCGGCGGCTGCTGTGGCAACACCAGAAGCAGGGGGTTCAGGCGGGAGTGGGGGGGCGAGAGCAGACGGGGGGAGGGGGGCGAGGCAGATGGCGCAGAGGGGCGGAGGAGGGGAGTCAGCAGCCGTGGGGGAGGGGGGTGCGAGGGAGGGGGGGAGGTTGAAGGGGAAGGGTTGCAGTTTGAGGGCGGTGCGAGTGACGGTGAACTGGCGCCCGCTGCTCTCCCTCTGCAGCCCCTCCAGGAACCACGCCGCCAGCGCATTGATGCTCTCCGCCCCCCCTGTGGCCCCGCTCCCTGCGCCCCCCCGCAGGGAGGCACGCGTGGCGAGGGAGGGGGCGAAGGCGGTGCGGAGGCAGTGGAGGTGGGCGAGGAGGGCGAGGTCGCGCAGAGAGCAGTCGCGCAGCGGCCGCACCACCGGCACTCCCCTCCGTGCGTCCCACACCGCCAGGTCCGCTGGTAGCGCGAAGCCCTGCGCCTGGTTGGGGGGATGGGGGGGGAGGGGGGAGGGGAGGAGTGGATGGCGTGAAAGGGAGTGGGCAAACGAGGGCCATGAGGGCAAACGAGGGCCATGAGGGCAAACGAGGGCCATGAGGGCAAACGAGGGCCATGAGGGCAAACGAGGGCCATGAGGGCAAACGAGGGCCATGAGGGCAAACGAGGGCCATGACACGCAATGAGCGATAGCCATGACATGCAATAAGCGAGAACTGCCCAAACCCTCCTCCCTCCACCCTCCACCCTCCTCCCTCCACCCTCCTCCCTCCTCCCTCCACCCTCCACCCTCCTCCCTCCACCCTCCACCCTCCACCCTCCTCCCTCCTCCCTCCACACTCCACCCTCCTCCCTCCACCCTCCACCCTCCACCCTCCAATCTCCACCCTCCACCCTCCACCCTCCACCCTCCTCCCTCCTTCCTCCACCCTCCAACCTCCACCCTCCACCCTCCACCCTCCACCCTCCTCCCTCCACCCTCCACCCTCCACCCTCCACCCTCGTCCCTCCTGCTCACCTTGGCGGTGGCGGCGATGGTATGGGCTGCGAGGCGAGAGGCCGTGCTGCCCACCACCACCTTGCTGCACCGCAGCCGCTGCGCCAACTGAGGGGGGAGAGATGAGCGGCACGGGAGGGGGGCGAGGCAGAAGCTTAGAGCGCCACTCACCACAAGCTTAGAGCGCCACTCACCACAAGGGCACTTCATGCATGCATGCATGTGTGCACACTCCACCATGCCTTACGACTCACGTGCACACATGCTGCATCCCTGCCCCCTCCCCTCCCAGCCCCCCCCCCCTCTCACCAGCATCAGCGCATCCAGGCGCAGAGCCCCCACCACGTCCTCCCTGCCCGTGCCCTCCGCCGCCCCCCCCCACCACCACCGCCAGCCGTGATGCCAACCCCTCCGCCCTGCTCTCCCCATCCCCCCCGTCGCCCTCCATTGGCGCACCCCCCCCATCCGCGGGCGCACTCCCCCCATCCGCGGGCGCACTCTCCCCATCCGCGGGCGCACTCTCCCCATCCGCGGGCGCACTCTCCCCATCCGCGGGCGCACTCTCCCCATCCGCGGGCGCACTCCCCCCATCCGCGGGCGCACTCCCCCCATCCGCGAGCGCGCTCTCCAGGCGCACCACGTGGAATGCCACTCCGTGCCCCCCCCCATTCTCCGACCCCGCCCCTCCCTCCCTCGCCGCCCCTCGCCCTCCGCCCTCCCCGCAGTCGCCCCCGCTGCAGTCACGTGCGCCCCTGTGCGCCGCCACAGCGTCGCTCACGATCTCCCGCAACTCGCATGCCAGCCTGTCAGCAGTGCCACGTGGCAGAAGGTCATTCCCCACCGCCACGCGCTCGTCCACGTAAGCAACGGAGAGGCGGAACGGAATGCGCCCCCTCGCCGCCGCCCCTTGCGCGCCGAGCGGTGCGGCGCCTTGTGAGTGAAGGAGGGGTGACTGTATGGCGAGGAGAAAGTCGAGCGCGCACCTGCACCGATTGCATCAAATCAGATTCGATCAGATCAAAACAAGATTGGATGGAGCTTTCATCAAAGTTAAAAACATGCGAGGGCGGCCGGGGAAAGACCGGCGAGGGGAGTGCATGCGGGGTTCCAAGGCGCGTCACCTGGAGGCGGCGCCGCCCGAGAAGGCGAGCAGCACGTGATCGTCCTTCGCGACGAGCTTGCCGCTATTCACGGCCGACTTGAACTTCCCCAGCAGCGCGCCGCGCAGACAGCCCGCGCACAGCGCCTCCGTCTGATTCACCAGCGCCGCCGCGTCCGCCGCGCGGCACTTGATGCACCGCGGAACCCGCTTCTCCGCGCGCCGCTCTGCGGGCGCCGCCATGCTCGCAGCCCACGTCGAGTCAAAACTCTTCTGGACGACGCTCGCAGAAAGCAGGAAATGTGGAGCGCAAGAGAGCAAGGAGCGGCGAGGGGTGGGAGTGGGAGACCAAGCGAGGGCGGCGTGTGCGTAGCGTGAGGGTGGGAGCAGCGGGGTGGAATTTGTGTGCGGGGTGGCCGCACTCCTCTGTGTAAATCGTCCTCTTCACGCCATTTCTTCCAACCCCTTCCAAAACCGCCTTTCCTAATTCCTTCTCCCTCCACTTCCTCATCACCTCCCTGCCCCCCATGGCCATCGGTGCGCGGAGGGCTTTTGCCTCTTCCGCCCGCCGCCTCGTCTCCGCTCGCCTCGTATCCCCGTTCGCCCCGCGCTTTCCAACTTCCGCATCACCCCTCGACGCTGCACCGAATTGCCACCCCCTTCCCTCCGCTGTCCAATTTTACGCGGATGACGCTGTTTCCCCCTCAGGGTGCCGTGCTTACTCCGCCGGGGGGGAAGCGCTGGGGTCGTCGGGCAGCGGGGCGAGGGCGCAGGCAGGGGGGATGGAGGGGAAAACTGCGGGCGAGGGCGGCGAGCGGAGCGGATCCGCCACCACCCACTTCGGTAGGCCACTTGCGCCGATCTCCGCCGTGCCCCGCCGTGGCTCTCCCTCGTCTCATTCCGCACATTATTGCCGCTAACCTTGTGTAATCCGACGCGCATTCCACATCCCATGGCGCATGGCGGGGCGCGGCAGGGTACCGGGCGGTGCGCGAGGAGGAGAAGGCGGAGCTGGTGGGAGGAGTGTTTTCGTCGGTGGCGGACAAGTATGACGTCATGAATGACGTCATGAGCGGGGGCCTGCACCGTCTGTGGAAGGACAGGTGCGCCCCGCATGCCACGCCGTGACACGCGTTCCCGCACATCCCTGCCTTTCTCTTCCAAGCCCCCCCTCTCCGCCTGCCGTCCCTCCCCACTCTCATCGCCCCCCTGCGTCCCCTGTGCCCCAGGCTGGTGCGAGCGCTGCACCCCTTCCCCCACATGCACCACCTCGACGTGGCGGGCGGCACAGGTGGGCATTGGGGCATGGGGGATGGGGGCATTGGGGATGGGGGCATTGGGGCATGGGGGATGGGGGCATTGGGGATGGGGGCATTGGAGCATGGGGGATGGGGGCATTGGGGCATGGGGGCAATGGGGCATGGGGGCACGGGGTTATGGGGGATGGGGACCTTGGGGCATGCGGGCAATGGGACATGGGGGCATGTGATGCTGTGCTGTGGGTCGATTTGATGGGATCTGTATCTCGCTGTACTGTGCTGTGCGGTGCTGTGCTGTGCTGTGCTGTGCTGTGCGGTGCTGTGCTGTGCTGTGCTGTGCTGTGCTGTGCTGTGCTGTGCTGTGCTGTGCTGTGCTGTGCTGTGCTGTGCTGTGCTGTGCTGTGCTGTGCTGTGCTGTGCTGTGCTGTGCTGTGCTGTGCTGTGATGTGATGTGATGTGATGTGATGTGATGTGATGTGATGTGATGTGATGTGATGTGATGTGATGTGATGTGATGTGATGTGATGTGATGTGATGTGATGTGATGTGATGTGATGTGATGTGATGTGATGCTGGGACATGATGTGCTGGTTGCCTGTGTTGAGTGTGTGCCGTGTGGGCATCGCTTCATGTATGCTCGTGCCCATCACTGCCCTCCATACACACCCCTCAGAGTCACTGCTGCCACCTTCGGCCATGGATCCTTCTTCCCCCCCCCAGGCGACATTGCGTTCCGAGTGCTGAGGGCCATTCGTGAGGCGGAGGCGGATCCACGGCGCATGGCGGCTGCAGGCACAGGGAGGAGCAGCGGGGAGGGGTGGGGCGAGGCAGGGAGGGGGGCGCGGGTGATAGTGTGTGACATCAATGCGGACATGCTGCGCGTGGGGCAGCTCAGGGCGCAGCAGCAAGGTGCAAAGCACAGAGGCTAAGGGCGAGGAGTCCACCAGCCATTGCATGAGCCTCAGCACAGGTCACCCCCTTCTCATTTCCATGTGCTTGTTTTCCACCTGCCACCACCTTTCCGCACCCAATATCTTGTGCCTGTGGACCTCCCCTACCCTCTCCACACCACCACAACCCCCTCCCGTCGTCCCAGGCTTGGCATTGGACGCGGCGCTGGAGTGGGTGCAGGGCGATGCGGAGGACATGAGTGCGGTGCTGGCGGATGGCAGTGTGGACGCCTACTCCATCGCCTTCGGCATCCGCAACGTCACGCGCATCCACCGCGCCCTTGCAGAGGCCCACAGGTCACACCACACCACCCACCACCTCCGCTTCCTGCCATGCCCTCGCCTCCCCTGCCGTGCTGTCTGCATGTGCCTCTCACCTTGCCCTTGCGTCTGTGCTCCCACTTCTCTCTGTGCCCTGCAACCCCCTCCCTCCCATGCATGTGAGTGCACAGGGTGCTGCGCAAGGGAGGCCAGTTTGCATGCCTGGAGCTCAGCCACGTGGAGGACCCTCTCTTCAAGGCACTGTGAGTTGTGCCAATGAACGGTTCAAGAATCAAGATCCATTCTTTACATTTATTACTGCCACCTTCATCATTGGGGTTTACATTAAGTTGTGTGACCCACCCTCCTCTGCCTCAATTCCCCAAATTTCCTTCCCTTTCCCCCCAGCTACGACATGTACTCCTTCAATGTCATTCCAGCCATTGGCCAGGCAGTCACTGGGGACAGGGAGTCGTATCAGTACCTCGTGGAGAGCATTCGCAAGTTTCCAACCCAGGTATTGTCTCCTTTGAAGAAAGGTACACCTTCATCGTTGCAGACTCACACAACCTGTACTGACAAGTGTCCATTTCTCGTTTCCCCGTCTCCCCATCAGAGGAGATTCATTCACATGATGGAGCAAGCAGGATTCAGAAATGTGTCATATGAGAACATGACAGGGGGTGTTGTGGCACTGTTTACAGGCTTCAAGTTGTAGAGTCAGTTGCCGTCATCTAATAAGCAACTACTGCTGTGTACATTCATTTTTGTTGAAGTAGAGTATGCACCTACAATGCAAGCGCATACTAGCAATAAGCAGTCCTCACTGAGCTTGAGGGGACGGGCAGGGCCGCCCCAGGTGAGGTGTCTGTATGGGGGATTGAACACCGTCCTCGGGTTGGACCACTGAATGCATGTTGTGATACTCGAGTGGCTGGAAGTTGTATTTGGGTTTATTTCTAGGTTTTTTAACATATCATAGTGAATGACAGCAGTCAGGCAACAAAAAAGCCCTGGAGTAATACCAGGACGGCTTAAGCCTTGGCAACCTGCTCCTCAATGAGATCGGCGGCCTCCTGAACGGTGGAGATCTTCTCAGCACCCTCCTCGTCGAGGGTGATGTCGAACTGCTCCTCCAGCGCCATCATGATCTCCACCTGCCAGCACAAGGGCGAATCCACGCTCTCAACAACACCCAACACAAAAGCACCAACCACACGGTCCACGCAAGTTGCGGGGGGGCCAACGCCTAAAGGAATGGCGAGCACTCACGGTGTCGAGGGAGTCGGCGCCGAGGTCGACGAACTTGGCATCGGCGGTGATCTTCTCCACCTCAACAGCCAGCTGCTGCGCGATGATGCCCCGCACCTTGGTCAGGGTGTCTGGGGACGCCTGTACCAACAAAGGGTCGACGGTCAATCAAGGGATCGGACGAGAACAGACAATGGCCCGTTCGCGCATATCAACGCGTGCATCCAGAACAACGGGGCCTGGGCGGCAAGGCACGTAGGGAATGAAAATGGGGAAAGACGTACAGCGCAGGAGATGGAAAGCCTCTGCGCCCGGGGGGTGAAGGAAACCACGGACTTGGCGACGGCAACCTTCGCGGGGGCGGCTCTCAAGCCGGTGAAGGTGGCAATGGTCTGCAGGACGAAGCGAAAACGGCGTCAGTACGTGAAGAAACTAGAAAAGCTTTATTTAACCTAAAAACAGCACGCTGTACCTTCTGGCTGCTGACAGCGAAAGCCATGGCTGCTGTGTGGAGTGGTAGCTTTCGAGCTGGAGTAGCAGCTAGGGTTGAGGTTTGGAAGCGGAGGTTGCAGATTGAGCGAAAATGAGAGCCCAAGGTGGTTTACTTTGAGCTCTCAGCAGCGAGGCTGGTCTGGATAGATCCGTCCACGGTAGATGGCCAATCCCACGGCGCACCAGGTCACGATTGTGACGCGTGGCATGAAAAGTGACGGTTGCGGTTAAAATCCGCACGAAAGGGCCTGTCAACCGAAGGTCACAACAATGGAGTGATCGAAACCAGCACACCGTATTTTCAAGTGCGGTGTAGCAAATAGAACCTTCCCGCTGCTGAGTGATCGGATGTTAGGCCCGACGGCCTAAGTCCGCTAAAGAATTAGCGGGGTCGACTAAGTCGAGGATGAAACGCGGCGGAAGACTTTGGCGAAAGAACTATTGGCGAAATAGGCGAAGAAGTTACTGAGTAATTGAAGAAGAGTTGAATGAGAATTGATTGATAATGGCAAGTACAAGCAAGGTTTATATAGCATGCAAGAAACAAGGTTGGAAAGTGGAATGTGGGACCAAGAATTGGAGTGCAAGAAAAGTAGAGTGCCACGTGGCACTAGAGAATCTGAGAAGATAAGGATAATGGTGACTAGAAATGTACTGTTCGGAATGAACAGTAAACACCCCTCTAACACTACCCCCCGCCCAAGGAGGCGACGTCCGCGGCGCCTGCAGACTGAAGGTACGCTTGGAGGCAAGCGTTGTCAGGAGACAGCGAGGACGAAGGAACCCAGCTGTCGTCTGCTGCGTCGTAACCACGCCAACGAACCAAGAAGTCGATGAAAGTGACACCCCCCTGGAGACGGCGACGGTGCCTGAGGATGCGCTGGATCTGGTAGTCGGGCTCGTCGGTGTCAACAGCTACCGGCAGTGGAGTGCGATCACGGCCCGAGAAGGTGGCATTGGGATCGGTGTATGGGCGAAGGAGAGACACGTGGAATGACGGGTGCATGCGGAAATGTGCGGGAAGGCGAAGGCGGTATGCGACTGGACCTAGTGCGCGCTCAATGACGAATGGACCAATGAAACGTGGACGAAGCTTGCTGTCCTGTGGCAGTCGGAGGTTGCGGCTATCCAAGAGAACACGGTCGCCGACTGCGAACGACACCTCACGACGACTGCGGTTGGTGGTGCGTGCCATGCGTGCATTTGCGAGCTCAAGGTGCTTCCTCACGTGATCACGAATGAAGGTGAGATGCTGGTGGAAGTTGTCCGCACGAGGGACTGTGGGTGTGAGATCGACACGAGTGGGGACATTGGGGTGCTGACCGTAAAGTGCAAAGAACGGTGACATGCCTGTGGCGGAGTGGTGCGTGTTGTTGTAGGCGAACTCTGCCATGCTCAGCTTCTTGTCCCATGCGGCTGCGTCGTGCATCGTGATGCTGCGAAGGATCTGCTCCAAGGTCTGGTTCACACGCTCGGTCTGTCCGTCTGTCTCTGGGTGGTACGTAGACGACATGGCTAAGCGAGTCCCAAACAGTGCGAAAAGCTGCTTCCAGAACTTCGAAGTGAAACGAGGGTCGCGGTCTGAGATGATGGAATCTGGAACCCCGTGCAGTCGGACTACGTTATCTACGAACAGCGTCGCGGCTTCCTCTGCTGTGACCTTGCCGTGCGTGGGGATGAAATGCGCTGCTCGAGAAAACTTATCCACTACTACGAAGATGGCGTCGTGACCCCTAACTGTGCGCGGTAAAGCCATGATGAAGTCCATGGTAACTACCTGCCAAGGGCGGTCGGGCGGTGGAATCGGCTGCAAGAGTCCTGCTTTGCGCTGGCGAGAGGACTTCGTACGCTGACACGTGTCGCACGAGCGAATGTAATCCTCTAAGTCTGCTGCAAGCCCGGGCCAGTAGTACGTGCGACTAAGCGTCTTAGCCGTCTTATCTGCTCCGAAGTGCCCTGCACTAACTACGTCGTGCGCCTCTGAGAGAAGGAGCTGTCGAAGAGGGCGGTAGGCTGGAACCCAAATCCGTGTGGTACCCTTCCGTATGTAGACACTACCCTGCACCTCTGCTCCTGCGGGCGGCTGCGGTGTGAAGTCGGGATCTACTGTGTAACCGTGCTCGAAGAGTGCTGTGAGAAGTGGGTGGCCAGCAGTGACTGTGAGACTGGCGAGCTGACAACTAGGGCGAGTGAGCGGATCTGCTGGGTTGCGCACGCCTGGCTTGTACTCTATCCTGTAGTGAAAGCTCCCTTCCATGAACTCCATCCACCTAGCCTGGCGACGACTCAGCTGCGGCTGCGACTTGAGGAAACGAAGCGAACAGTGGTCCGTGCGTATAACACTATCTGCCCCCTCTAGGTAGCACCTCCACACCTTATACGCATGGATGATCGCGAGCGCCTCCTTGTCGTGTATGGGATAGTTCAACTCCGCTCCCCTAAGCTTACGCGACTCGTACGCGATCGGCTGCAACCCGCGTCCCTGGTCCTGAAGAAGCATTGCTCCTATGGCCTGATCGGAAGCGTCGGTCACTACAACGTATGGGCGAGTGGGATCAGGGTACGACAGTGTCGGTGAGGACGTGAGCGACTGCTTCATCTACTCGAACGCCTGCTGCTGCGCTGGACCCCAAACGTACTCTACGCCCTTCCGAAGTAGGTCGGTGAGTGGACTAGCGATCGATGCGTAAACCTGAACGAAACGACGGTAGTAGTTCGCGAAACCGAGGAAGCTCTGCAACTCCTTGACTGAGGTCGGTGCTACCCAATCCTGTACTGCTGCGATCTTCTTCGGGTCAGTCCTAATGCCACTAGCGGATACGACGTGTCCTAGGAACTCGACCTCTGGAAGGAAGAACTCGCACTTCGACTGCTTAGCGTATAACTGCTCCCTCCGTAAGACCTCGAAGACCTTCTGCAAGTGCTGCACGTGCTCATCTTTCGTCTTAGAGAACACTAGGATGTCGTCTAGGTAAACGACAACGAACGACCCTAGGAACTCGGAGAGGACTGTGTTCATGAGCATCTGAAACGTCGGTGGGGCGTTGGTCAATCCGAACGGTAGAACCCTAAACTCGTACAACCCCTGCTTCGTACGAAACGCCGTCTTGTGCTGGTCCTCTGGAACTACTCGAATCTGGTGGTAACCCGAACGAAGGTCGATCTTTGAGAAGACTCTAGCGCCCTGCACTGCATCGAGAAGATCCTCTACTCTCGGCACCGGGAATCTATTCTTGACGGTGGCGGCGTTCAGTGCGCGGTAATCTATGCACATCCGTAGCCCTCCGTCTTTCTTGGGTGCGAAAAGTATCGGTGCGGCCCAAGGCGATCTAGATGGCTGTATGAAACCCTGTGCGAGAAAGTGCCTAACTTGCTGCGTCATCTCCTCTGTCTCCGCTGGACTCAACCTCCACTGCGGCTTCGCTACTGGCCTGCTCCCCGGCTCCAATTCTATTCGATGGTCTACTGCTCGGCTGGGAGGCAACCCTGGGGGCAACTCGTCGGGGAAGACGTCTGCGAACTCTGCTAACAGTGCACTCACCTCAGCAGGAAGAGTCGCCTTCTCACTAACTGCTGCACTCCCTCCTTTCCCCTCCTCAGCTTCCACCTCCTCAAGAAAAACCGCGAAGATCCGTGCCGCACGCTTCACTAACTGTCGCACACGAACAGCATTAATGATAGCTGTGGATGATGTGGCCCCATCGCTCCACTGTGGCAGCTCCCGGAACTCCCCGTCTACCTTGACGCTGCAGCTTCTCTGAGCCCAATCGAACTGAGTACTAACCGTCCGTAGCCAATCTCTCCCGAAGATAAAATCGTATCCGTCCAGCGTCGCAGAGTCGAAATCACGCCTGACTGTGATCGGTCCTAGCACTACGCGCAACTTGCGGATGATCGGTCCTATGTGAAGTGGCGTCCCATCTACCATGCGAGCGTCCTTGAAGTTGACTGCTGAATCTGCTTCGAGATGGAGACGAGAAACTAACGATGAAGAGACGAACGAGTGGCTAGCTCCGCTATCTACGAGAATCTTAACAGGAACTCCGCGAAGCTTCCCTAGAAGCACGACTGGACGATCAACAGTGTCTACCTCGTTCTCCGTAGATGACTGCTGCGAAGCCGTCTCCTCTACGTTGGTAGACGTGGCGGGTACGGGAACCTCCACACCAGCTAGCGACCCGCTATCTACTGGCGGTTTCCGTTTCCCTGCTGCCGCTCCTTAAGCTGTGGGCAGTCTCGCTTCATGTGTCCCGGCTTTTTGCAGTAGTGACAGTTCCCCCTAAATCCCATTTTCTGTGAGCCGTCACTGTTAACTGCACCAATCTCCATGGGCGATGGTCCGTCCCTCGATCGAGCGTCGTTGATCGGTCTGTTGTATCCCCTATCGCGATCGTCACGACCCCGTCGGCTTCGTACTGCGTCGACGCGTTCTGCTGCTGCGACTACCGACTCGAAGGTGGACAACCCGTGAATCGCAATGACTTCCGCTATGTCCGGCTTCAACCCTTCGAGGTAGCGATCGCGCATCTCTGCTTCCGTGATATCGTCTATCTCGTTGCAGATGCTCAAGAACCGTCGTGTGTACTCCTGGACGTTGCCTATCTGTCGGAAATGACGCAGACGCTTCCTAGCAGCTTCGGAGGCGTTCACCAAATCGAACCTACTTTTCAGCGCCGCTTCAAATCCTTCCCATGTGGTCGGAACCGTGGTAACACCCAAAGCTAAACTCCCTAAGCTCGAAGTTGCAGCTGCATGCCCCACGCCCTGTTGATGCCCGTCCGTCTGAGCCCTTCTTACTGCAGTTTGAGTGAGTTGGCGCCACCACTCCAAGGCCGGGCCCCTCAGCAGTGTAACAGCTGTCAAAATGAGGAATGAATGGTTCCATTGATGTTGGTTGGGGTACATATAACAAACCCTAACTTCTGTACCCCCTAAGACAAACCTCACTACAGGCTACAACATTTGACACACCCCCATAGCCTAAGTGAGGGGTGTCTAGCAAAATCAAAAAGAGTACGGTCACAAGACCAGTCCAAAAGAAAACAAAGCTCAGGGTGGATCACAACGTCACCACACACTCTGAGCACAAGCAACAGTGGCTACAAGGCCAGTCCAAGAGATCACAAGTATATATAGCAAGTGTACAGACAAAGCAGGCAATAAACTCAAGTCTACACATGACTAGAACCTGAGTCAACAAGGCCTAACT